GATATATTGTACCGATGCCCGATTTTTGTCATTATACCTACATTTTGTTCATTACTAGTAGATTTATAATGAAAATGTTAATAATAAATATCAAATTGTGAAACAGATAAGTTCTATTAATGATGGGAAACCACAGGAAAAGAATCGGTATGATATGATGATGATGAGATGGGTATAAAAAGGGAAATTCTATTTAATCCGTTGGTCAGAAATAGAAAAACATTAGATACTTATTAAAGTTGAGGAATGAGTGCTCGTTACGTCATAACTATACTTATTTAATATGTACAAAAGTATGACGTCATGCAATATTTCAACTCAATGTTTCTCAGTAATTTATTGATTACGCAAAAAAAACATGTGTTTAATATTCTATAATAATCTACCCGACGGTTAGACAAACAAAAAACAGTATCTGAACTAAAACCAGTTAAAAATCGTCTTTTTCTAGATTTTTTCACGTAAGTAATATTCAGGAAAATATTCAATTCCTATAGAAAGATTCATTTTACTACTCAATATTTGATATAAGTATTATTATTTGATATAAGTAGTAAGTTACTAAATGTTATTAAATGTGTGAATGATATTGCTTTAAAATAAATTGTATTACTGTAAAGGAAAGTAGTTAATGTAATAGTATCCTTCCCTGATATGAATTATTGAAATTCTTTCCCAAATTGTTCCTGATAGGGAAAAACGTGTAACTTTCATAACCTTTTTCATATATTTAGATTATATAATGTAATCTAAAGTGTCTGTTTATAAGTAATAATAAAAATTCAAGAAAGGAATTGTTTCCAAAGATGACCGATTTATGAGAGCTAACATAATTTATTTATCGCCAATTTGGTTATAAATAGTCAAAATAGTTTTTTAGACACCATAAGCTACCCAAATCTAGATATATTTTCAGACCACAATAAAGTTGTTTAAAAGAGATGAATTTTTAGTAATAAGGCCACCAATTGTACTGTTTAATTGATTGTATCCATTTGTTTTAGCATATTTCATTCTTAATTCATTAAAAATTAATCAAAGCAACAATATTGTTTCCCTTGTAGCATGTTTAGAGAGAAGGCTTTACGACGGTAATCGATCCCATACAAATTAGCCTCAGTGTATGAGCGCGAAGCAAAGGAGGAGGTTCTCAATTAGATTTGGTATACTTTGTTTTTGGTGTGTAGATTAAAAAGATTTTTGTAATATTCCAAAGCTGAAGCTTAAAAGCTCCTCAGATCTAATCAAACGTTTCGTCTGCTGAGAGGCAATAGGACACGATGAATCGTTACGATTGTCTTCAGAACGACGACGGATCGTACCTCCTTTTATCGTCCAATATATCATTATTTTTCACTTTTTAAAGTAGGTAAGACAGACTTTCAAAAATTTATATTTTTGAGATGGTTCTATTATTATCACATTAATTTTGCTTTTTTTAACAAACAGCCCAAAGCATTCATGGCGTATTATGAATCTAAACAAAATTGTATTTTGAATTCATGTCTTTTGTTAATGACACAATAAATAATAAAACAATTACCTATTTTTAACTCAGGTAAAGTCACTGTATTAAAAAAAAGTTAGTGAAAAAGATTTTAATCAAGGCCTGCAAACTCCATGAATTACGAAAGTTCAATTTAAAAATGAATTAATTACGTTCGCAGCACAGGAAACCTTTCTAACACCATCATAAAGTTTCTTTTGTGTTGCCAAACGTCTTTGAGTAATACTTCAGCGCACTTCGTCTTTAAATAATAACTGATTACAAAAATTCACCCGTTTCCTTGAGTTTTTTTTGCATTGTTTTATATCAGGGAGCACGATGGCGTAATACTTAGCTCGTGCGGTTGCGATGGACAAGTTGCCAACTGTCGTAAGGGCCGATTATAGGATGGGTTAGAAGGCGGCAGTGAGTTAGTTAATAAGCCGGTGATGATGTGTGTATGTTAACAATAGACAGAAGAGTCATTTACTCAAATTGTAATCGCCAGCACCTTGTTTTTCATAGAGTCAGAAGTGTTGTGATAAGAGCGTCTGTAATACAAATATATAGGTCATAGGAAATTAAATCCGTATCTAGCCTAATTAAGGTACTCATCATCATCATCATCATCACTTCAGTCGAGAGACGCCCACTGCTGGGCATAGACCTTCCCCAAAAGAACGGTTTTGGGCCGTCTCCCACCACGCTGGCCCAATGCGGGTTGGTGGGGAGCGCCAGAGGCAATTAAGGCACTATTGTAGCTTAATTAATTATGAAAATTGTATTGACGTTGCGGTAATTAAATTAATGTGGCAGTAGATTGTTGACAATATTTGATATTAATTTTCCAGAAGAGAAAATTAAACAAACAAATCTTGATTAAAATTGAGAAACTCCTAAAATTAAGAAAATTAAGAAGTTATTTTAAACCAACTTTAAAAGAGGAGGTTCTCAGTTTGACCTGTATGTATGTTTGGGCGCGATTATCTCGCGTTTGGCTGTACCTATTTTGACGCAGTTTTCAGAAAAGTATTTTTAGTGTTACCTATTATACCTATGAAAAATATCAATATCATTAAAAAGAATGAAAAAGAAACTAAAAATATTAGAACCGACTTTAAAGTAAGTCGCTCTTGGGATAAGTATTATTTTCACTTTTTTGGTTTGAAGTCAGTTTTATTAAAAAAAAAATTAAGTTGTTTATCTAGGCTAACTAGCTGCTTTTCCGCACTTCGCCCCCATACTTTATAGCCTATATCACCCAGGTGGGTGACACATTCGGTAAGTTATACCATAGGTATGGTATAACTTACCGAATGTGAACGAATTTTCATGATAGTATGAGTATTTTTTTAAGATTACCCCCCATAAACAAAAACATTAAAAATTTTACCTCTATTATTTAAGCATATATCAACATTTTATATACATAGTTAGTTCCCATAGTTAAGTAATATGTGAAAGCTTGTACCTAAAAGCTCGGTAAACTTATTACCTGTAAAATTGATTAAAAATAGATTTCTTTAAATGAAACATAAATGATTTTCAGTAATATATTTATTCCAATACATTTACAAAAACATCAATATAGACATGTTTGATATATTGTAAGTAATCTTTAAAAATACATTACAAAAAAAATAACATAGATTCCTTTTAGCATTTTTTCAGGCAAATTGTACTAGGATTATTTTATCAATCAAAGGTTTATCAAAATAACTTGCCATTATTGAGTTTCTCAAAAAGCAACTAATCTAGGGCCACGGTAGTGGCTGCCAAGACAACGAGCCACACAAAGCGCAAGGGCGTTACCTACTTTTTCTCGAAGCGCTTCGCCGTTTTTGAACCCTCATTACTTGGTTTATAATTAATTCAAATCTTAGTTATAAAGCCGGTGAATCTTCTAAGATCATTTTTTTGTTAAACGATTTGTACTTAGCATTATGTTTCACTGCGAGTGCAAGTACTCGTCGTCTCGCTCGAATCAGTGAATTTGAAAAGGGAGCCTCTGAACCTGTGATCACTCTGTTTGAGAACTATGTTATTCAGTTAGAAAGTCCTATTTCTTAACAAATGTATGGCACTTTTATCACTAAGCGTCATATCGACATTACAGGCTTAAATGAGACTTATCACGAGAATAGTACTTTTCATTTAAATTAGCAATCTTAGGCCACTTTGTACCTATAGTGTATATTGTTATATAAAAAAGCATGTTAGTTAGTTTTCATAAATACCAAAGTTTTAACATTTTTAAGTTTTCTTCCTACTTATTTTAGTATTGACAGGTTTTAGGACTCTATAAAGATTATAGACGCGCCGCATTTTCTAATACCCATTATAAGTACAAAACAGCCACAGAATTTCCAATTTCTTTGAATCAAGAGATTTTTTACCATAGTACCTTCTTATGTAAAAAGGACCAACTGACATGACATGACATGACCTGACATAATGTCAGGTATTACAAGATTGACCACTTGATTTCTAAGTCAATGCGTTGGGAGTAGAATTCAAAATCAACCTGATATGTAATAAGTCCCTTAAAAGCACAAAAAAAATAAACTGAGTTACCGAATCGTTAGTAATTTTACCTAAGATAAATATAACAGTAAACGCCTTAATCAAATTTATACCGATACTATCCTAATTGAAAATTAGGTAGTCTGTGTAAGTTTTTCGAGACACTCCTTCGCGATTTTTCTCAATAAACGATGATTATCAATCAGTTATCGCTACTTTAAATTGTTAAATTATTGAAAAGGTCATGGAGAAAACTTAACCTATTTTTAGTTAATTATCAGTAGTTCTTATTGGAAAGAAGTATTTACAATAACTAATAATGGTATTTACCGCATTGCGTAAACTTTACTCAATAAATCACCTGATTATTATTAAAGCTATGATGTTCTTCTAAGTGATACATGAGTAACGAAATATAACTTATTTACCTAATTATACTAATTACTTTACTATTATTAGAATACATACGTAGATTTACGTGGACTTGTGGATTTGGTATATTTGAATTATAAAAGATATTCTAAATCCAAACTGTAGTGCTATTCTGTTATAAAATAATATAACTTAAAACTCGATGACAACCTCAGCGCTGTCGTTTTGTATTTTTTTGTTAACGCACGGGGAATGTACCTTAAGCCTCAAACCAGGTCTTTGCAATCACCCTGTCTTGAGAAGGACATCCATTGAAGTGGCAATGATTCTCCCCCACATTGAGGATATCCACCCTCAGTGTGGGGGAGAATCACTGCCACTTCACTTCGTATGAGCATTTATATAAAACCTACTTGAAAAGGTAATTAAGAAGTATGCCGTGATAGTCTGTGTTAGACTTCGAGTTCAAAGGTGTTTTTTTAACAGAATTACACAGCTGATTATTGTAACAAAAACTATTTCAGCTAATTTAGACTTTTTTTATATCGTTTATTATAATTGTTATCAAAGCTGTAAATCCGATTAAACATGATGTCAGTCTAACTAAATAATATGATGACTACAACTCTTCTTCAAACTCCATGGCATCACCCAATTTAACGAGCCCAATGAAACTCTTCTCTGGTTCCATCAGCGAATGTCTGTCCCCACCGGTATTCCTCACGGCGAGTTTATCGCCTGCTTTTAGATATAATGCAGATGCTGAGAAGCATGAGTTTGGCTTGTCCAGTCTTTCTGATGAATGGGAGGACTGCGCGCACTGAAGTAACGTCTGTCTTCCCTCGATGTCAGGGTTAGTCCGGTGTAACACCCACGCTATGACGTCATGGCTGTCCAAGTAGTATATCTGTGGAAATGATTATTACATTGAATTCGTAAAGTTGGACAATATGACCTTTTTTTAGAAATTATTTAAGTAATCTATATTTTTTCGATTATTAAGCCAAGGTTAATGCTTGATTTTACATAAATACGACATGAGGAGATTGATTGAGGGTAGATATGAGGATATTTATAATTAAAAATATGACGTACATGTATACTTTATTTTACAGTGATAGCCTCTGATTTAATTAAGAAACCCAGTTCTAAATTATTAATCTAACGAAGTAAGATGAAACGAAATACCGCCATATACATCGAAAAGATCGCACCCCTGATTGACTTGGCAATTCCTCGGTTAAAACATTACCTGAACATAGACGAGGTAAACACCGGAGTGATGGACGTGCACATGTCCGCCGCGCGTCAATGTGGGACGCGGGTGTGGAGCGTTTATGGTCCAAGTCGATGGATACCACACGTTGTGCGGCTGGTCGTGTGACACGCGCACTAGACCGTTACCTGTAACAAATGTCCGATTATATTTAGTAATAGTTATTTAGTTTACATTTCATTTCAATGTAGAGGTATTTTTTAATGTTTCTCTATCTTTTTTAATTTACTCGGTACAGCAGTTTTGGAGAAAATCAGCCTTGAAAGATGAATGATCCTGTAAGTGTTTTGTACTCAATCACTAAGACTTCGTTGTCCGTCTGTCTACCACAAGGCTGTGTCTTATGAAACGTGAAAGCTCGACAGTTGAAATTTTAACACATCATAGGTATGTTTATATAGGCGCTAAAATAAATATAAAAAACAGAATAAAATAAATACTCAATGGAGGCTCCCTAAAACATACTTGATTTATTGCGTTTTTTATAGATAATGGTAATCTCTGTGCGCGAGTTAGATTCGCTCTTGGACTTGGCCTGTTTTATCCTTTTGAGTTGCGGCACCTTACCATAAAGATTTAAGAGAATCAGCAGTGATATTCTGTTATTAAAACAGCCTAGAATCACCACAATGCAGCTCTGTAACTGCATTGAGGTTATAACCAATTAAAGCTACTTGAAAAGGTAATAAAGGTTATATTTCATTGAATCTTTATGCCGCCGTGAGATTGCCGAGTTAGGCGTCGAGTTCGAGCTGTTATATTAACAGAATAACATAGTTGTTAAGATTAATTCTTATAATTTATACACCTATACAACGAGTAACGTTGTTTCTTCTGACAGATGTAGTATCTTCATAGGTCAAGATAGATAGAAGAAAACTCAATTACTTTGTTCGAGCACTATCCTCAAAGGAAGAGTAAAGCAAACTTTAATTTTAACTACAAACACAACTGTTAATTAATATTTTATTAAATAATAAAAACTGAGTACATAAACCCACTGGGCAACTGATGCTAAAGTTGCCCAATGGGTTTATATACTGAGTTTTTTCCAGAATGCAATTTGGTTTGGATAATAAATTAATAAATATCGTAAGTCTTCCTAGTAAATCAGATCAAGAATTAGATATAGGAATATACCTATTTAGTTGGTATATTAAACTATTTTGTGACTGGAAATGTTACGTTACGTTGTTAAGAGTGACTTTGAACGTGAGTTGTCAATTCCTACTATTGATAAATTATTTGCGGTTGCTGGATTTCTGCTGGTGTAACAATAAACACGTCATAAGTGTGGTTATTTTGCGTAATTCTACTGTGGTAATCAAATCTTAATGCAATTGTGACATTATAAATAGCATAAATTTATATTGCATGGAATAAAAAGGCTTTTTATTTTATTTTATTTATTTATAAATAGTTTATATAGCTCTTTCAAGAATTTACGCCCCATCAGATTCACACGGGGATGATGCTTGGGTAAAAAAAAAGAATTTCTATTAAGTCCATCGATCGATACTTTTTAATGCCTAATCTAAACATACGATTTTAATTTTCTTTTTTTTATAAAAATATTAATATTCTTATTTTTATATGCAGATATAGATACGTTATAGTTCGGTTTATAATGTACCTACCTCTGCAGCGTTAGTTTAAATGAGTTAATTATAGTTATGGTCAACAATATATGAAGGTGTCGAGAAAATTAAACAACTGCGTTACATTTTGAATTTATTTTTAATTTTTATTAATCTTGTACAAAGAGAATCACAACGTGTCAGTTTTAAACTGTAACGCTTATAATTAACTTCTTATAAAATTAAATCACAGAAGTTATCAGTTTCATAGAGTATCCTTATTACTTTGGATTGCTGCGTTACCAAAATTTAATTTTATAACATAAACTTTTCTATTTATCACAAATAAAAACTTAAAATTAATACCAACTTACAACATAATCTTTCAATTTTGATGAGTAATACGTACGTATGAAATTAAAGCACGTTAAATAATAAGAATCATAGATATATTGAAAATACTATAAAAAATCTGAGGGACACAAAAGTAACGCAGTAGTAAGCCCAGTAACACGGTAGTATTTTCTTACCTACAATATTTGTACTTTCTATAGAGATCTAGTATAACGATAAAAACATAACAAAATATAACTTCCTATGACTCGATATAAAATAAAGTATCTTCAATGAAATAAATTTAAAAACTCAAAAAATAAAAATCACAAAATCAACCTTAATAACTAATGGAACACTTTCAAATCAGTCCTACTTTTCAAAGACGTTTAATGGCTTATCATAATCAAAGTATATCCTTTTACCTTTTACGACAATTTTAGGATTAGGAACAATTTCTAAGATGTTATCGTAAGGTTCGTAAGAAATATCAGTATCTACTGCTTTGAACCTTTTACCAGTTTTATCTACTGTCTTGTAAAACATAATTTTGACGTCTCCTTCTTCATCAACTTCACTTTTAGCAACACCTAGATAAGTGTAATGTTTGTCTTTAACAGAAGACACTTTTACTAAGACATGGACACCGTCTGATATCTTTGTAGGATGAATATTTTCCTTTTCAATTAATTGCCTTTCTTTTATATTAGAAACTGATGGTTGGCTATAGCTGGCTAAGAACTCGTCATCAGAGCTGGAAGGTGTGGAATAAACCGTATTGTAAAATGTTCTTCTAGGTACGGTAATTATATATAAAATATCATCGAGAACTATTTCCTCATCCAATCCATCCAAGAGAATACCTTCTGTAAGTGTGTCAATAACGGGAGCAGGAACAGGGTGATAAGTTTTTGGGCTCATGCATGAGCAAAAACCTCTTTGGCAAAAGCAACTGAGATCTCTATATTGAAGTTCACCGGGAGTGTCAGTAAAAACTTGATGTACTAGCATCGTACCTTGAAGTGGTACAAGGTTTTTAGGTAGAGCTTTTTCAATGTTTTGTATGTCACTGTCCGTCACTAAATACAAACGGACCTTGCTTAACTCCTTCAGTGTTTTGGTGAGCGATAACCCTGGTTTTGTAGAGAGCATCTAAAATATACTGCGCATTAGTATGTATCTTGCATAGGCAAATCTCTCTTCCAGAAACTGAAGGTGGCTTTATATAAAATGGCCTGTTTTTAATGAAATACGAATAAGAACATCTCAATTCTGGATTTTCTTTTTTAAAAGAATGAAATAGGTTTTTCATTGTGTCTAGTAAATATCGCTTCTGTATTTTAATTTTATTACAAGTGACAGTTTCCCGTTTTCCAGCCGTAGCTCTAGAAACATCGTCACGAACAAAAAAGCTTTTAATGCTGTTAACCAGATTTTTCTTTGAGGTATTCTGCTGTCGTTTCATCACTTTCATCAGATCAATTCCCAACGTCTCGCGTACAATAGCAATTTTTATTTTAGAGTTAGATAAGCCTTCTCCTTGAAAATTTGTTTTAATGATTGTTTCTCTTTGATTGACTTCAAACTTCTGTAATGGTCTTTGATGGCATTGGATAATGTTGAATACTTATTTTGGTTAAGCTTATTTACTTGTTCCGTGTGTTTGATTGACGTTTTAGCTCTTTGGTATCTCTTTTTATATTTACTACACATTCTTTTCAACTTTTCTATTTCTTCCTGCAATTTCAAATTATTTCTGTACACTGCAGATCTATCTCTTCGTATTTGTTTTCGGCCTCTAGACCTCGGTAAAACTGGAGTTCCTGACCGCGGGCTCGACGTCGGTGTAATGTCCATAATTTGTTGAGCAGTTTTTTGTCGTTCTCGACGTTTCTTATTTGCAGTTTTCCATTTACGCTTAGCACTCCTATGTTCTCGCTCTGTCATATCTTTGACAAGTTTTTTATTTGCATGGTACCTTTCTTGGTGTTTTTTCTTAGCTTCAGCATTTCTCACCGGGTCTAGTTTTAATTTAAGCCTATAGCGACGTTGTTTTTCTGCGTTTGTTAACGCCATTTAGCGCAGAATCTTTTCTCTAAGATAAAAAAAGAAACAATATATGAAAATTAAGGCTTAAATAACGTATCACCAACATTGACAAATATATTATTTATTTTTATATGTAGTTAGTCATGTCTTTGTACCAATTGTACCAATTGTACGCAGTTGTTACCAATGCAACAACTGCGTTACATTTTCAAGTAACGCAGTGTAGCAGTATCGCAGTTGTAAATATTTGACTATGTTGTATATAATCACTAAATGAAATAACAAAGTGCAAATATTCTAACACTGACAGATCCAATACATGACAAACTACATATAAAACAAATATTATGTAAATATTGGCAATACGTACCTTTCGACAGTGGTAACTCAGCGGCCACGCAATAAATACACGCACCTCTCCCGACGACTCCGACGCGACTGATCTGCCGAGCGTCCTCTTCCCCCGCGGTTGCCATCGTTCGTTATACGAGTTACAATATGTAAAGCCGAATAAGGTGCAAAAAAGGGTAATACACTCACTTAAAGGTTTATTTTCATAGAGCAACGCAAGGTAGTTACGATTTTAGTATTTGTTAGGGACACAGTCAAAATAATTTTTTACTCCAATAATTTTTTGATGTAAAAAATATTTATTGGCATTATAAATAAGGTTTAGGGCTTAAATTTTTAAAGCGGAATTCATTATGAATCGCCACCTAGGAAATATTGTGGAAAAAAATCCAGAGAAGCTTGAGACATGTGCTCAAGGACAACTGTATTTTGTATGAAGAACAAATGCGTTACTAGAATGACAACATTGTTACTATATTTTTTGTTATAAAGATGTATTTTTACTGGTCAAATCTTGTGTTCTGTATTAAACAATAATGTAATATTTTGAAATTAGCATACTTATTTTACACTTTTGTAGTGTTTTACCGTAAAATTCAACATTAGTTGAAAGGGACAGGTTTTTAGGCATAAAAAAGTATATAATCGAATAACATTTGTTTCGTATTTTTTTGGTTTAATTTAACAAGAAACGGCTTAGACAATAGGCATTAAAGATGAGGAGTGGGAGCTATGTACGACCATGTTGAAATTGTACTAAGGTGAGACGTCATTAGACATTTCAACTCAATGTATCGCCATATCGCCAGCTCGGTGGCGTAGTGGATAAGCGCCGCGGCCCGCGATCGTTGTCGTTAAGCAACTTTCGCAAGGGTCGGTCACGGGATGGGTGACCAAAAAATTATCTCGACCTTCTCCGTGCTTCGGAAGGCACGTTAAACTGTTGGTCTTGGCTGCATTTGCAGTCGTTAATACCCTCTAATCCACATTGAGCCAGTGTGGAGGGTCATGGCCCATCCTCCTTAACCAACCATAAGGAAGCCCTGAGCCCCTACAGTGGGGACGTAAAAGGGCTGATGATGATGTATCGCCGTAATTAAATGATTATTTACGCAAAATCTAATAATCGACACGACAGACAGTCAATCAAACATTAGTGCGGTGCTATTCTGTTATAAATACAGGGTCGAACGAAACGCTGTCAACATAAAAGGTTGACTGAAAGATGCTCAAAGAGCATTAAAATTTTCATTAGATAGTCATAAATTCGATAGTCATTAGAGCTTAAAGGCGTCATTAAACCTTAATGGAGGTTTGTGCAACTGACCGTGTATCAAATAAAATCTACTTGAAAAGATAAAAATGGTTTTATTTTGAACCTTAATAAATGGTTTTATTTAGAACTAACAGTATTGTGTTCGACGTTATATTTTTGCATAAACCAAAGCAGTTTTCGTATCATTGCTTGTAATGGCGGAATTAATCCCATTAGGTACTCTCTACAAATAAAGACTTTAAAAAGATACTGTTACATAAAAAATATTCGTTTATTTCTTCAACGAAGAACATAGAAGGCTGTTTATAATTAGGTTTACATTTTTTTTATATTTAAAATTCCTTTGTGGGATACTGTTGTGTAAGCTAAGCATTAGATAATGTCTGTACTTCAGGCGCACTGTCTCTTAGACGTATTTAAGCCTCATTTGACGCCGACCTTGGATATATTCGAGATAGTCCGTACATTACGCGCGCAATCACAATATTTGTTTACTTTGGGATTAACCTACGTATATTAGTATTGTATAAATTATCTGACATATTTAAACATCCTTTTGTACAGGTAATGATAAGAATAATAACTACGCTCCAACATATTAATTATATTAATATTTAAACTTTTAATAAAAATATGGCGTCCCCACGAATGCCCGCAATAAACAATATTCATATTTACATTTACTAAAACTTGTGAGATGTTTTTCGCAGACAAAATAGGACACTGTATCTGGTGCAACAGCGTGCCGATTTCGTACCAGATATATTAATAAAAATAACTTTTTTGTATCATTGGGGGAATTCCTTAAACCGCACCGCGATCGTAAGCTAGTCAAAACGCAGATGGTATATCCACTCAGTCTCTTCCAAAGCACCCTCACTTTAGAGGGAAGGGTCTGGGATGCCAAAAGGATGGCACCACCCTAGCTAGGTTTAGACAAAAGCCACCCACATAAAGCTTCTTTTTGAGTTGCTATGTTGGACTGTACTCACCACACTGTTTAGACTGAGACTCTCAGACAGAAAGTCTATCAGAAAGAAGAAAGAAGGTTTCAGAGAGAACAGGATAAGACAATCTTCAATGTCGGGACTAGGCGTCGTAAGTACAAGACGCACTAGTGGGCATATAAGAGAGGGAGGAGTAGGTGATTCCGAAGTTACGTGATTACGGAAAAAATACTAAAAATATGTATTCTCATCGAAGGTACGTGAGTAAAGCGGGTCCGCCGCATAGACACGGGCCGTCTCATGCAGGCGTTCCCTGAGGCCATCCATAAATAGGTCACTGGAATGTCATAATAATCATGACGAGTCTATACAAATGGTGGGACGTAATTTACAGATTGTCCCTTTTTGGTAACCTGTTGGAATCATATGATTATGGGCTCAACTTCTATACTAACATTATAAAGACGAAAATTTTCATTGTTTGTTTGCATTGTATAGGCTCCGAAATCTGGGACCGATCTGGAACGGGAAGCTACGTTATACGCAGAAAATATATGCTATTTATTTATGTGGGTGAAGTTGCGGGCACATAAAAAATTATAATCAGTTCTTTGGGTGCACCGTATATGCCATCTACTGGATCGAATATATTTATAAACTACTAGCTTTCGTCAGCGGCTTCGCCCGCGTGACCCTAGGGAAATGTTTAGTGGGATAAAAAGTATCCTATTATCTAAGTCAGCTATTACCTATCTGTATACCAAATATCATCACAACCTGTTCAGTAGTTTCGGCGTGATTGACGTACAAACATCCAAACATCTAAACATCCAAACAAAGAAACTTTCACATTTATAATATTAATAGGATGAAGTCAAGAATCGTTCGAACCTTTGTAGTGCTCGTGTATTTCAGGATTAAGATGCGACGTGTTCCCGTGAAAATGAGCGGCAATGAACGGCTTCTGAAACAATATGTTAAGATCATATTAATGTTATAAAAAGGTAACGTTATCAGAGTTGTGTAATATGATATTATTGCTCTCAGTAGTATAGCTAACACGTATGCCAGCCGAAATGAAAATTGAAGGTTATTTTTATCTTGTTATCGTATTTTTATTTATTTATTATTATTATTGAGAAACATACAGCTCATAATCTACTAATCATTTTTTAGAAAAGAAATACCACAATGGCCAATAAAGTTTAAACAATTACTATGCGATGTGAAAGATCAATGTTATTAATAACATTTGGGTAAATAAGCTTGAAATTTTGTCCGTTTTCAAGATTAATATGGTTTTTAATAGTTTATGGTTTTAATAGTTAGCATGCATTAACGTACTAGTACTAGTGCTTAAACAGGTACAGCTGCCTACGACTTCCAGTTACATTGATAAACATAGATATATATAATCAATTAATATAAATGTCAATTCCATTCCTACGGATACGGATCTACTACAGAACATCCACCACCCACGCTACGCTCACATAAAAAAATAATATTGAGCTGAACCTGAAGTTATTTCAAATACATTCAATTTAAATCTCTCTTCATAATTCTCTTGACAGAGCGGTTGAAAAGGTTATGAGTACACGTACTGGCCATGTTATTCTCAGTTCCGTACATAAAAGGGTAACATGGGAACCCTACTAAGACTCGCTGTCTGTCTGTCACAGACCGTATCTCATGAGCCGTGAAAGTTAGACAGTTGAAATTTTCACAGATGACGTATTTCTTTCTAATGCGCTTTAACAACAACTTAAAAAATAAAATGAATATTTAAGAGCATTCCTCTATAAAAAAACATGATTTTTTTCTTTTGTTGCCTTCCTGCGCAAGTCCGACTCACACTTGACTGGTTTATAGAAACAGATAACTTATTTTTTCATCGTCACTGTTAACTTACGTCACTGTCGCTATTCCTAACTGTTCTCGTGACAGTGTGCAGTCCAATGTTCGATAGCGGTGCTGGTACAACAGGCGGTGGCAAGTATTTCTTGCTTTTTCTTCTGTAACAAACAAAAACCTTATTTAAACAAAAACATGTATTTATAGTTCCAGTTCGATACTAAATAAAAAATTCATCATCATGAATACCACCAGCTTATTAACGTTCCCATTGTTAGGGCTCTGGCCTTTTGAAATGGTATAGGGAGAATAGACCATGACCCACCTGCCCAGTGAGCCCAGTGTGTATTAGTGGTCGTTGACAATCTAAGATTTTCAAGGGTTTCAAAATCATTTTTGGTCACCCATCCTATGACAAGCTTTTGCGAAAGTTGCTTAACTTCCGCATAGCAGACCAAATGCGCTTAGGGGGCGTCCATAAATTACGTGAGATGTTTAAGGGGGGGAGGGGGTCGAGTCAAATCTCATCTAATCTCACGTTGGAGAGAGGGGGGGTCTCGGCAAATATCACGCAATTTTTAAAATAAGGCTCGGTGCGGGGAATCCCTCATAGCGTGACAAGTCTAAGGTTGAGATCACTAATTCGTTGGAAAGAAAATAATTTCATTCGTACTTTGACATTATACATCACTCCTGATTGTCAAACCACTATACTCGTTTTATACCAAATAGCTCAATTTAATTTAAATTTACGGTACAATGTAGCCCGTCCTTTGTTTTCGCGCCACTGTCAGTTGAACATGTGACTCGATGAATGAGAGCAATATTGATTACTAGTCTCTAACTAGTCGTAAATAAAAGTACGAAGCTAATTATTTTTTTTTCTTTTTATTAAAAAAATCCAACGTGTTTAAATAAGAAACCCACATTTCGAAAAATCTCACGTGAGATTTGGGGATGGGGGAGGGGATTGAATAAAATCTCACGACATCTCACCAGGGGGGGAGGGAGGGTCAGAAAATTTGAAAAAAACACCTCACGTAATTTATGGACGCCCCCTTACCGTTGCGCCATCAAGCTCCTCTAAATATTATTTATTATATGCAATTATTATAATCTTAATTTCTTTCTTCGACGGAAGTGGACTTTGGCATCGTATGTACACGGTCTTAGGTTCTCGAATATATTCTGAAAACGTTAGAAATAGTTGGATATTTATTATAGAAAGCGATACGTAGAATAGAGTTATAAGGGATTACTTGAAGTAGCCTTAATATGTTGCAATATCGGGAAACATTAAACTAAACACTCAATATGGGTCTCTGTGGAGATCAATATAATTCCCCAGACAGTACTGAAGTTAGGCTATTTTCTCAATAAGGATTTATGTTTGAAACTGTACCTCAAGTCTGAGTTGATAAAACATGGTAATCTTTTATCATCTTAATTATTTTATTAATTCAAAGTAAAAGTCATTAAAAACTCGTTTCTACAATTATAATTAACTAGCTGTTTTCCTGCGACTTTGCAAGCGTATATTATATCCTATGTTAACCGGGTATTATATAGCTTTTTAAGTCGGTTCAGTAGTTTTAGAGCGATGCAAACAAACAATTAAATCTTTTCTCTTTATAATATGTATTAGAATAGATACATTTTATCTCAAGAAGGATTAGAAGATGTAGATAATCGAGCAATTAACTTTCTTTTATTATTTGTTGCCGACTAAAGACGATATCACTTTTATATGCGTTTTAATTAAAAACTAGGTGTTATCCCGCGACTTCGCCATGTAACTTCCCGTGGGTGAAATAATTTTTAAATCGATCATGTAGTTTCGGATCTAATTCAATGCAATCAAACAACCATTTAAGACATTTGTTTAATTGACAACACACATTATTAAAACAAATAAATATAAACAAATTAACAGAAACAATTTAAAAACATTGTGAATTGCTGTGCGTTGCCAGGCTGATCTCAATTCAGTCAGTATAAGCAGTGGGTAGAGCCCACTGCACTGGTATTCTGTTGACAACGTGGTCAATAATGAAATCAAAATAAATCAAATATTTCATCTCTATAATACTAGAATAGAATAGATAATTTCTGCTACGTTATATAACAAAACATAATATATTCTCGTTACATAAACACTTGTGTGTTTACGTGCACTTTATTCTGCACGTGACGTCTAAGAAAATGTGCTCGATAACACATTATATTCCTGGCTCAGATCGTGTACTTATAGCAAACATGCATGTTTTAGTTTTCTCGTATTCAGGTACATTCCTTGTTAATAATAGCAGGTGTTATTTGACACCTTTGTTGTGGTTGCATTCCTTTATATTGCGTATGTTTAATTTTATTGCACAACCAGTAGTATCTTAGTATAAACCGTTTCACGAAAGAGTTTCTTTGGCATAACTCTTATTTCTTTTTAATAAAAGTGAAGGCATTGTAATCTGAGGGAATCCGACTGAACTGCCTGTCAAAATGCTAAAGAATTTGATGTTTCATTTTTAGAAGAGATTAAGTCACGATTGAGTTTATAAACTAATGAAAAATAAAGAGATGAGTAAAAGACTGACACACACACACGTCAAATTTATAACACCCCGTCGTTTTGGCGTCGGGGGTTAAAAAGCGTGTCAGGATTACGTAATATCATATTGAAATCCTCAATCTTCTGCACGCTTTGTAATCTATAATTAATGTTATCCATAGTAAATGTATTTACCTTTCCTCAAGTTTATCAGCTACGGTAAACGCTGGGGGTTCTACCATTTCGATCGGTGTATCAGGAAAAACGCTGCGTTTTTCACGCTCGTTGCTTGAGGCCAAGTTCGTCATTGAAGGAGCTGCTGCAAGTGCTGTAAAACGTTAGAAGTATGTAGTAATTTCATTATGTATTTGTTGAATTATCACTTAAAAATGAATATATTTTATTGTCCCTATTGCTGGGGCACAAATCTTCAATATGGATGTTATACGGAAGATATGTGATGACCAGAACACCGAGTTTCTCGAAAACGAATATAATATTTACTTTCGAATGATTTTGTTGATATTTTTTCTGGTAAGGCCTAACGAGGACGATTCTACGCCTGAGCTAATATCATATAATTATGAACGTTCAAGGAAAAAAGTAAAATTATCCAGTAATTTTCATGAAGGATGTAGTTTAATATATTCACGGAAATATTTGAATATAAATATATTTATAATATTATAGTGCAAAATCCATCGACAATCTTTTAATTATACGAGCAAAAACATGTTTTACATTTTAAATATACTTTAGTCTCTATAAACAAACCCGATTAGTATCCGCATCGGGCTCGCAAGGTCGGTTATGGTTTCAGAGTCGTCATTACTATCACCAGCCTGTTTTCGTTTATAGAGAAGGCCTAACCCCATTGCTGGAGTTCATGCCTATCTAATAATCGAATAAGGAGAATTGGCTATGACCCACCCCGCGGGCCCTGTGCGCTTTGGTGAATGCTATCGACTGCAAATGCAGCCAATGTTATCATTGATCAATTGATACTCAAGTCAATTGAAAATTATTACAATTTAAGACAATAAATGTGTAATAAATGCATATGGACACTTTAAAAGGCATGAAGAAATTAAACTTGCCAACTTAAATGGAAAGCTAGGGTTGCCAACTGTACTTTAAAATAGAGTATTGTACACATGGCTGCACGTCAGGTTACCACAATTTTAAATTTTATCTCAAAACATTAAAGTATAATATCAAGTGGAGTAATTTGACATATTTGTATATCCTGACGTGCTGTTAACTATACTATGAACAATGTAAGCGTACTCTATATTCTTACGCCAATAGAGGACGCAAAAATAGTCTTTATTTTTATTATTCCAGTATCAGTCACGCAAATATAATGCTTATCTATCATCATAATCAAAAAGGTAGACTATTCACTTTTAATATGCTTATATTCCCAACACCCTAAGCTCTTAGGCCACAGTATGACGTTTCTGAACGCCGCCACTAATGTCAATGTGACAAGTCGTTGACGTTTATATTTATTCACTTTTAAACTATCGCACTGCATTATTAAATACTTATAATTACGGGTATTAGACGCGATTTTTACATTGACCTGCGCCGACGTTTCGGCCGGGTTGCACCGGCCATGGTCTCGTCGTGATCATTATATTTATTTACACCAGTATATTTATTTTATTACAAGTCACAATATTTAATTTCCCACATCATTAAGACACTCTTTTTTAAAGTCCGTATTCTTTATTTACCTTTTTTGAAATTAGATATACCTGCTCTATTTCGTTTAATAAAAGATAACAACCCTATGAAATGCTGAAATAAAGGTCACTGTATTAAGTAGCAGAAATAAGTATTCATTTCATTCATGAAATGAATTAAATAAAATATTTATTTTAAGACTTGGCATTTTCTAATAACAAGCTTTGCAAACTTTATAAATGTGAGAAACAGCTTTTCATTTGCAGATATTTTTTATGTTACTCGAATATAAAACTGATAAGAGAAGTTAATTGAGTTAATTTAATTCTTGACCTTTAAACTAAATCTTACTAATATTATAAATGTAAAAATTGTAAGAAAGTATAATATGTTACTCTTTCATGCAAAATCTACCCAACGGTTTTTGATGAAATTTGGATTAACTTATAGGCTACTTTTTATCGGCTACTGGTGAAACAAAGTCGGTCTAAAGAAAATCAGGATATTTTCTTTTTGCGCCTTTTAATTTCTAGAACATGGAATTGAAAAATAATGGTATTATAAACAATTGCATCACATACATATAAAAACTTGGTTTTGTTTTTATTAAAGAATTCAAAACAATGAAGGTACTACAACATCCAGACCCGAGGCAATATAAAAAGATCATTCTTTTAATTGAATCCGGGAGCTTAATGATGGTAACACCTTTAAAAACGGGTTGCGAGTGACTTGAACATGGAAGTCGTCATGTATTAAAACGACAAACTATCTGCAAATGGCATAAACTTCAAATATTCATAATTAAAGGTCAAAAGTTTTAATTAGAATTCGTACAATACTTTGGGCCTTCCACATTGCTTTCACAGCGAACCGTAGGACGATGTTATTGTTGCCAGTGGGACTTATTGCAACAATTCCTTTTCGTTAGCTGCAGAAATGTAATTACGTGGTAGCGGGATTTATGTTACGACTAGCTGCTATATTTGAATTTATGCGAAGTGCAAGGTGACTTATATTATTACCGATAGGGGTTAACCTGGTTGAAAAAAAAAAGAAATTCTATATCGTTCGTCAGTCATTCTGATGAGTGTGTCAAATATCAAGAACTAATATAATGACAGAGAAAAAAGTAACAATATTAGATACGTATTTTTTGCGTCAATTAAAAGCCAGCTTTTACCTTCGCTTGTGGGTAAAAACATTCCGTCGCTCCCCGCAAACCAATACGTATCGAGAATAAAGACGCGCTCGCACGGAAAATGGCGGGAATCAGCCTATAATTCACGCGAGCGCACTAGCACACCGTGTGTACCTCAAGGTAGCAGACACACCAGAGAATTTGATGTAACAAGTGCTTGAACGATACATCAGTCATGTTAGGTCCTGGGTTAGCGGTTAGAGGAGTCGCCCGGATTGCGAAATGTTCGTGGGTTCGATTCCCATTTCAGGGTGCCAGGGACCAAGTGGATTTTTTAAGCATTTTGTATTAAGTATTAAGAAAATAGTGACAAATAAAAATTATAATTTCTATTTCTGAATCAAATTATAATATAAAACATCATATATCAATAACCATTTTGGTTCTCAAGAAAATAAGTTTTAGCTGCTTTGCAGTCAAGGTAATTTCCAATGATCTACCTTCTCATAATGAAATAAGAATAATAATCGTAACGACTGTCGGTCTATTTATTGGTTCGTCGAAAACAACAACGCCACGATCATAGAATTTCTATTTTAATTTTAGCATCAAAGCAGCGCGTTTCGCAATTGAAAGCTTCACATTTCATTTTTCCACGTAAAAATATAACATAGCAGATTGAAAACTATTGTGACCGTTTACAATGGTATCTTATCATCATATAAATAGAGGAAAACTGTCTTGATTTACCGCGCATGCTTAAATAGTCAATGACCTAACTTTATATGTTGACATTTAAAATGAATAAACAACTTTAATTTTAAAGTAAGTAGTACAATTAAAAGATAAGTGCTTTACTGTCGCTTACGCTTCACAAATATGTGCAGTCAAAAGTTAATAAATGAAAATATTATCTAATTATTGATGGTTGTTTGCACTGTTTGTGACCCAAAATTTGACCTAATTCACTGATTTGACTTAATTACTGACTGAATAAGTTCGCATTGCGAATTATAAACGTTACCTTCTGTTTTGTTTCGTAAATCATAGAAAGAATGAGTGTCGCGTACGCACACGGCTGTCTAATTGATTTATGTGTTTTCAAAGACGATTTCAGGTTAAGAACTTTTTAAAATGCAACTGCCCTAATATAATATAGTTCCTCGGTCTTCTTATGCACATCTTCAAATATAAGATGTATTCAAACATTAAGTATGTATTTTAAGTATTTTTCATTAAGAATAAGTATGTATTTGTTCTATCACTGATCGTTATCATTGTATCATTAATTTCTATCCTGTGGGAGTCTATCTCGCTGGATAGTTTTATTTCACTTTCATTATACACTTGGAGGCGATAAATTTGGGATAAATTCCAAAATACATATGGGGTAAATTTTGCCCCATAAGTTCGATTCAATCAGTCACAAAACTTATTCTGTATTGTATGTGTATAATCAAAAACTAATTATTGAAAACGACTCATAATACGCAGAGCATATATGTGGGTGTCAAAACATAATATATTGTTAACCTTTTCATGGACTTGTTAATTGATTTAATTCAACTCATCCATATTACCAAGTAACTAAAGAACTTTTTAATACTAAAACATTGCTTCCATTACCTATGTCTGGATTTTCTGGATTCTCGTTGAGCATACGTTGAATCTTTCTTATCTTTGACAGAGCTGACTTGTCTTCCTGATTAAATTTCACTATGGGGTCCGTGAAGTCCTCAGGGTCCAGCAGCACCATGTTCGTAGATCCAGGCTGAATGATAATATAATAATTAAAATATCGATAATTAATATTTTTAAATAAATGATTGAAAACATTGTTAGATAGTGATTACTGCACAAAGCTCTTCATTTGCGTCCATAATTATTAAAAAAACGATCATTCGAAGATATCGATTGTAAAGAAATAAGATTGGTATTTGTTTGGACGAATAAACTCGAATTATATAAGATACGCAGCAATATCTACATAAGTGAATAGCAAAAAAAATAGAAAGCTACTTCCTTCTGTAATAGCTAAGCAATTTCGTCGGTAATCTGTTCATATAAGCACACTTATTTATTTATGTACGATATTGTATTTCAAAAAGTTATATAGGTATAACATTTATTCAAAGCTCATGTGACATCTTGCAAGGGTGTAGCAATTTGAGAAAGTCTTTATATCATATAATATTTTCAAGTCGTTATTTAAAGTATTTGACTACCTACAGATACCTATCTACTCGTATTAATTGTAAATGATTTTCTCCGTCTGACATTTTCTTGAAAAATATATTATATTTTTGGCAAACATTTATTAGAGCGTATTATTCATATAATAAGTTAAAATCTAAAAATAAATTAAACTTCATAACGTCGCTATGACGTCACGGCCCCTGAAACTGGTGTCGTTCTATGTATGCATAAGGTTGAATTTTTTATGTTCTGTTATGAGTAAGAGGGTCGTGTTGTCAGACGCTGTTTGCGGTCACGAGACAGCGAGTATAAAATATAAGTTTTTTATTTATAAATAATTTAAGCAATATTATAAGTCTAATAAACATAAAAATGTGTGATTATCGGTAATAGATATAAAACACTATCAGTAAAAAAATAATACGTATTTATTTTCGTTCACCCGTATTGCAAACCGAAGCTGACAAATATGATATGACATTCAGCCATAGATGATACAGCCTTGCACCACGAGACGCATATCGGATACTTTCGTAAGAAACTTCTTGAGTGAAATCATTGTGCACATTCTTTAATTAGGAACCTATAACTCTTACGAATTAACATGACACCCGAGAGCCTATTTGTCCCAGAATGAAAATTCGAATACTTGGATTGTAATCGTTCTTATAATTATGTTATAATCATATTCGTGTGGATTATATCTGAGCATCAGAGGCAATGTCATGTTTTATTGCCGTTGAATCATAAATTATAAAAAAAATGCATTTTCTTGGAGTCAAAGTCGAAATAATCTTTATTCAAATAGACTTCTTAAAAGTACTTTTGAATCGACCAACTTTTTTTCCTTACCACTCGTTCAGGACGTCTTTTGCTGATAAGAAGAACGAGCAAAAAACTCATCAGCTCTAATAGGAGTAATGAAAACCTTGTCATTACCAGATCAAAACATTATAAATAGAGAGAAAAAAAGTCGTATTAGCAATTCGAAAATGTACGTAATGTCTTTCCGGAGCATAGGCCTAAGGTGTCATTTTAATACGTAAGAGTTATATGTTCAATACATAGATGAACTTACTTTAGCGTTCTCTCTCCGTCGATCGTAATCCTGATAATAGTCTCCGCTTTCGTCGAATAAGTCGTCGTCGTCGGACAGGTCATCGTCGGGCATGGAGTCGTCCTCCAGGATGGTAAGGTTGTGCAATTTTTCGAGTATACCGTAATCTTGTTTGTCCTTATCTGAGTCTTTGGCCTCCTCTTGGTCATCGTCCGTGTAAATCTGTATAAAGAAAAGTGGTGTTTTGATTTATCATAAATAATTTGAATTTACATTAATATTTTTTTTATTTGCTACTAGCTATGCCCGCGTAGAAAGTAGCCCAAGTTACCCCTTATTACGTAAGCTCCATCCCAAGACCCATCAAACCGGAAAAACAGATAAACAAAAAAAAATTTTGTTATATATGTATGTATGTATGTAGTAAAAAGCGGTTATTTTAAAATTACAAACAGACACTCCAATTTTTTTTATTTATATAGACAAGTTGAAACCGTATTTTTCAGAATAATTTTACAAACCGATCTTGATATTTGAAGATACAGTGACGATATATAAATGTATTGAAGAAATATATGGAAGTTACTCGTGCTTAAAAATAAGAAAGAATCTGAAATATATATACATTAATTATGAATATAGGCAGATATTGAGTGTTCACTAGTTGCGAAACCAAAAATATTTCTTTGTCTGTGGAAAACGCTTCACACATTTTCAGACTTTCAGACTACAAAATTAGTATAAAAAGAGTTGCGCAATGTTACGTTGTAACTCCTATAGTCTGACGTCACTGACAGGAACATGTTAGTCGTATGAGACATATTTCTCTCAACGAAAGTGCGTGACGGTTGACGCTAGATATCGTCATGTTTTTGAAGTTTCGCCAAGTTCAAAAAATTACGTAAGCATTTAATAATATCAAAACAGATATTAGTTTCATGGAAACACAAATGAGGTATTTAAAAACCTTTTTATAACAAGGGATTAAACCGAAATGGACGTTAATATAACATAAATTGAAATCTAGTATTTATATATAGGGTAGACCGATTGAATAGGATCAATTGGTGAATGGTTAGATAGAATAAGAAATCCAATGGAAATTATAGATGATAATTGAAATATAGATAAGTCATTAAATGATGTTAACAATTAGTAAACATATCACTTAAGAGCAGCTAGCTGGCTGAATAGATTTTGTATAATAATGCAAATAAAAATTAAATAATCTGCAGTATATTTGAAAAAATTTAAAGTTATTAACCAACTTCAAAATCCAAAAGGAGGAGGTTCGATGGCGACGGGCTCAATGGCGCGGTGGTAGTGTTCCTACCATTGCGCCGAGCGGCATGGGTTCGATCCCCACCCAGGACAAACATTTTTGTGATACACAATTGTCAGTTCTGTGTCTGGTTGTTTTCTATTTATATTATGTATATATTTGTATTCCCCCCGTTGTTTCTGATATCCGTAACAAAAGTGCCTTATCTACTTACCTCGGATCGGAACAATGTGTGTGATGTTGTCTGATTTATATTTTTTTATAGGTCGACGGCGACGACGACGGTCTATGTTTTAGTTTTATAACAGTATTTTGACTAATTGGCTTTTTAGTTATAATGTATTTAATGCTGAACACGTCTTTCATGTATCATTGTTTGTTAAGATAAAACTTAAAAACTAGTTTTAATGTAATATACATAAGATTTTAATTTTAACAGAAATCCGTATAATGAAACATAATAGATTTACAAAGCAATAACATAAGTACACAAAATGGCACTCAATTTATCATTAGTGCTAATGCGTAGGGTTAATATAATTTACTGAGAACACGTAGGAAGATTATTATTATATTACGTAGTAGTATCGTAATAAGTCTTAACACTACGGTACACGCGCCCCTTTTCTTTACTTAAGTACACGCGTGGCCTACTATATTAGGCCATATTAAAATGTCAATAAATTGGGTATTCCTAATTATTTTAATAAAATATTAAATGGAATGGAAAACTCATTTATTTTACTTAGTATTATAACATTACAATATAAATATATTATTTAAAATAGTGAACAATTAGCATTAAAGTAAACATGTAAGAAAAACTAACAAAAATGGCATTTCTGAGGCCAACAATATTTTTTTTTAATAACACGACAATTAATTACTGTTTTCTTTAATTTCGTAGCATTCAGGACACACAACTGCTTAGTGATCGGGACAAATCCATTTGTAGCAAGTTTTACACCACTTTTTTGTCGACCGATTTCGGGCTCTCGAGCAGAGAGCACATCGACCAACTCGTCCTGTCTTTGGTGTCAAATCGTGTTGAGATTCTTGGGATTCTAGAGCTGTGCTACCCAAAAGTACACCGATCCTGAATTTAAGTTGCCGGGGAAGTGTTTCAACTGATGCCCGACGAATCAAAAGTGGTTTTATCAAATTGAAGGCCAATTCGTGCAAAAAGTTACGCCTAATAATATTTTTGGGTGAAGCATTCAATTGGTTGATTACCAAAGCATTAATTCCAGCAATGTTCATTAAATCGAAAAATATTGTTAGTGGCCATCGACGGCTGTTACGGAGAACACTATACTGCTTGCACATTTTGTCTAAGATGTCTACTCCACATTTAGTACGATTATAAAAAGTAATAATCTCTGGCTTGCGTTCTTCGTTTGTGTCAGGATCGATAGCTGCATCATAATGCATTGTAGACAGTAAGTTAACCGCCTTGTTTATTTTAGGAACATAGGATACAAGAGTGACGTCTTTTTGAAACCCAAAAAGACAACTTTTACTAGTCCTAGACTTCGAAGCTTTGAATTCCTTAGGGATTTCAGGTCTATTTGCTTTCATAGTACCAACTATCGTTATTTTCTTCCTCAATAACTCTTTAGCCAGAAACAGATTTGTAAAATAATTGTCCATAGATACATTACAGCCCAAATCATGAAGTGGATCTAGTACTCTATAGACAACGTCGTTAACCTTATTGGACTTCTGAAACGGACCTTTCGGTTGCGCTCCAACATATATCTCAAAGTTATACACATACGGAAATTTTGTATCAACAACCATGAAAATCTTAATTCCGAACTTATCTGGTTTATTTGGTATGTACATTATGAAGCCGCAACGTCCTCGAAAACCGACAAGTTGTTCGTCTAGAGTCAAATAATCGCTAGGAACATAGTTGTTACGACAATTGTTGGTAACAAGCTCTACAACTTGTCGAATCGGTGCCATTTTATCAAGTTCTCGGCGTTGTTCTCTGTCAGTAATGTCGTCGAATCTTAGGGCACGTATCAAGAACCGGAATCTATTTATTGACATTGTGGCATATACAATTTCTAATCCAGTACCCAGAGAGTTATCCCAAAAGTCCTTTATGTTACGCCGTCCACTTCGTGACACTCCCATGACATACAATATGCCCAGAAATGCTCTCATTTCCACTCTATCAGTGGGTTTAGCATCCCTATTTCGTTGAAAATTGTCTTTTATTTTATATATATATAAATTTGTGCATGTTACTAAGATTTCTAAGATATCTTGAGTAAAAAATAATTCAAAACAGGATAATGCATCCTTAGCATTCTTAGCTGCATCTCCTTTTGGACCTGGTGGTCTAATCCTAATGTTTTGAGCTCGAGTTCGCGTTACTGATGGCATATTTTTGTGCCAAATAGTTCCGTTCTTCGATTTGTAGACTGAACCGTGCCTTCCGGATGCTACTTGCGAGAGTGGAGTGTCATCTGAATTAGATGTTTCGTCAGAATCACTCAACCTTTCCTCTTCTTTTTCCTGGAGTTCATACTCACGAACAAGAGACTGTAAGTCTGGTTCTGGCTCAACTTCATCATCTTCACTCTCAGACATATCTTCATCATCAATATCTAGCTCATGTAGCCACCTTTCCACTTGTGAATCATCCATGACGTAATCGATTCTAAATCTGTAAAAACAAATAATAATAAACATTTTACAATTTTAAAATAACAATTATTTGGTAAATATGCAAATATATATGCGTATAATAACTGGAAAACATTATAAAAGCATTTTAAATTGATAATAGACTAAAAGTTACTTACCTGATTTAGTTACACCAATACACGCGCGGACTACTTTAGTAAGCCTGCGTTTTTGGCGCCAAATTTCTCGCACATGCGTTCTCACGGGGATTGCGCGGGGTACTGAGGTTGTAACAAATATACCAGACAAGGCTTACCTAGAACCGTTACTTTATGGCGCGCAAAAAAAAAAAGGTTACGACAAAAAGAGCAACCCTGGTCTACTATAGTAGGCCGCGCGTGTACTCTAGTGTTAATATTGTGTATAAACGATCGATTAGCTTATATACAATTTCTTCATTGCGCAAAGTCAAAAGAAAGACAGCTTATTTGGTTATAAGTATTACATTTAGCCCTTATCTCAGATTACCTTAAAAGCTATTGTTTATAAAACATCTACATTACAGTAAGAAAGAAAGACATTTATTGATCACGTTGTAAGTGATCTTATAAATTACTAGTATAGTATAAAAAATGCGAGGCCATAATGTTATGCCAGAGTAATGCATGACATTATGGCCTGCTTTTTTTACATGAAACACAGAAATGTTACTAGGACCCCATGATAGCCCGAAAGGAAATCGTATCTAATACCACTGAAAACAAACAGTACATAATATTTTTTTATTCCATGCTTGAAAGCTGATTTTGTTTATTTCTTTCTCACGAGAAAATAATTTATTGATGTTTATTTTTGTTTGAAAACAATGTAGCGTTCGATCCGATCGCACTTCACATATGGATCGAGTGCAGATGCGATTTTTTTTGGCACCAATTCAAATCTCAATGTTTATTTCGTCTCGTTTTGCCCTCTTTTTGCGTTTTCGGAGCATACCTCCTGGTCGTTCAACTCCTGACCACTCGTTTTAGTGTTTATGACAGACGTTGACACAATTTATGTAAAGTGGAACGAAAATAAAATAACGCGACCAAAATATGCGAGCCAGATTAAGTTAGGTTTGTTTATATGAAATCAAATACTTGTGCATGTGCGCCTGTGTTGTGAACTTAGCGTTTATTTTTTACATACAAATATTATTTACGCGGGCTAAATCGCGGGAAGACAGCCTAGTATTTGAAACATTAACATAATATACTCTTTCCTGAATTTCCAAAGTGTCGAATTGCCATTTTTTCTTTAGTTA